GTAGTCTCGACCATCCACTTCATGTTCTCGTGGTGGCCTAGAGGTGTCTGAAAACGAAAAATCGTTGCAAAACCTAAATAGTTGTTGCCGTCAAAAAGCATAATTAAAAAGAAACGGAGGAAATTACAACTGTTATAAGAACACCAGTTTTGCTCCGCCCGCTATCGCGCGCATCACACGGCAGGCTTTAGCAAAACTGGAGAACCCATGGATTATCAGCATGAGATACTCCCTCACTACTGGTTGTGTTTCGCTGAAGCTCATCGAGAATACGCGTGATAACGTCTGGAGCTAATCTGGTATATTGATCGTAACTCTGTAAACATCCAGCATTTTTCTTGAATCAAAATAGTTTAGCGGTGAATAAGATTGCTTCAGTCTCAAAATCAAAACGAAATATGCCTATTGACATAAGTGATGAGCTAATGCTTATCATTCATTTACCCTCACCATTATTTAGAACCCGGAATGAATTAGCGGTTTAATGAGTTTGGGTTTTCTTAATAGTACATCAGAAATGAAACTTATCATTTGCTGAAGTCTTGCTTAGGGCTTTAGGCAGTCGAATTCTATTAAGTAATCTGGTTATATCAAAACAATGTGCACGTACTACAATTTGTAAATAGGAACGCTCTAGTGTCAACGCTGCGTAATGGAATTGACGACTTCAGCGTTCTGGCGTACCATATCGGCCCTTATCAACCGTTATCAGATCCTGTACCCACCAACAATGTCCCCGTCCCACTGCCACATACACTTGTAAGAATGGTTGCTCTAGTGTCACGCAAGCCAGGTAACGGAATCGGACGCTTCAGCATTCTGCGCGCCTTATCGCCCCTTATCAATCGTTATCAGTTTTCTGGAACCCACCAACAATGTCCCCTTCCCCCCCACATAACACTTGTAGAATGGTTGTTCTGGTATTCAACGCAAGCCAGGTAACGGAATCGACGACTCAGCATTCGGCGCGCCTTATCGGCCCTTATCAACCGTTATCAGTTTCTGGCCACCCAGCAACAAATGTCCCCGTCCACCCCACATACACTTGTAGAATGGTGCTCTGAATGTCAACGCGAGCGCCCGGTAACTGACACTGACGACTTCAGTATCCTATCGCGCCCTATCGGCCCTTATCACACGTTTCAGATCTGGTACCCACAACAATGTCCTCCACCCCACATAACACTTTTTAAGAATCGGTTGCCTCGGTGTCAACAGCAAGCCAGGTAACGGAACGCACGCCTCAGCATTCTGGCGCGCCTTATCGGCCCTTATCAATCGTTATCAGTTTCTGGCATCCACCAACAATCCCCGTCCCACTCCACAAATATTTGTAAGTATGCGTTCTCCGGTCACAACGCAAGCCAGGTAACGAATCGACCGACTTAGCCATGCGTTGCGCGCCTTATTCGCCTTATCAATTCGTATCAAGTTTCTGCGCCACCCACTCAACAATGCTTCCCGTCCACCCACATAACATTTGTAAGAATGGTTCTCGGTGTCAACGCAAGCCATGGTAAACGAATCGACCGACTTTTGCGCTCGACGCGCGTTTATCGCCTTATCAGTGGCCAATCGCTTTTCATTCATGTACACCATTATCCGGACCAACCCCACATAACACTTGTAAGTATAGACGCTCTGGTAGCCAATATGAACGACAAAACTCGAAATTGGGCGAGGCCTCGCTTGTTTAGCCCTGTATTCAGCCTATTATCAGTCGGTTATCAGTTCCTATTCACGTACACTTTGTAGTCCCCAACCCCACCCCTATAAAATATATGGAAGAACCATTGCGCCTATGCGTTACTGTGACCGCAGCTATGGAATTTCCGGTCAAACCACATCACACACACACCAACAGACATACGCAGCGCTTTATAGTATAGTATGGATGAATTACCTGGGGAACTCTACAAGTTATAAAGGAAAATTGTGAAAGAAACAGGGCTACTGAAAAAAGTCAAAATTATTTATTTCCAGCTCCTTTCAGTCTGATGTTCCAAAAGACTGTGAAGGTCTACGCTTCAATGAAGAACACTGATAAAAGGACTTTGAATATTTCACTTTATAACCGACTGCAGAAATACAGCGTCACCTTTTGTAATTGCCTCATGCTCAAGTTAGCAATGAAGAGACTCCTCAATCAAATTAGAACGACAAATTAACGAAGGAGCCTTTACATGGGTCGGCATGGTTTTTAAAGTGAAAGAGTACGTCACAAAAGAGCTGCTAACACCGAAATTTTGCCACATACAGGACGAAATTATGGATCTGGATCTAAGCCCAGTTAAATATTCGAGGGCATAGTGTTTTTTAGAAGTCTAGAAACCGATTGGGTGCGACTTTATCAGTCCTAAACAATGATTATTAGGCCAGCACAATTTTCTGGAACACCTTGGCTGTTTTTCGATTTTATCACTTTTTTATTTCTGTGATACAAGGCTCCAACTTAGTATTCAACAACAGTATTAGCAGAAAATTGTCAACGCAAGGGTAGATTTTAATGTAGATAACTAATTATTATTTAATTTTAGATTCTATTGGGTCTGGTCGAAGAAAAATCAGATTCCGATTCTGACACCATGGCGGTTGGAGTAAGACTATTTTCCAGAAGGTGAACCAGAGGGGGGGGGGGAATATGGTCGTTCGCAGGCCCGAGGTAAGTGCTACACGGCGGAGCTAAGCGAGCTGTCGCCCCAAAAGTCTTATATTTTCCATGAATTTTCTTCGCAAGGTAGAGACGAACGACATCAGAAAGACGCAAACTTTGCCTCATTTTGCGGCAGAATTTACGATGAAAATCTAGCTTATTGGGAACGAAGGTAGAGGTGGTCAGTGAAGCAGGGACGAAAAAGAAACCATTTGAAACGGCCCGAAACCCGAAAAGGAGACCCTTTGCCTGTAGATTTGCGCATTGCTGTGACGCCCATCGCTGCGAAGTTTTCAACCCTACGCTCTCTCTGCTGTCTAACCACTCCTGCGGCGAGTGATTGGATTATCGGTGGGCGTACCCCGCCTACTGCGCCAAGAGTGAGCCATGGTAGATCATCGAGGTCAAATCTTTCGCTGCCAATTGCGTGTCAGACCGAACCCTGAGGAGATATCTCTCAGGATGTCTCTATGCGATTTTCCCCTTCTTTGACCTTTGTTGATATCGTGAATTCCTCCTTCAATCACTGACCTTGGTATTATTGGCGGCTTTACGCTTTTCGTAGCGCGAATTTTTGGGATTGTCGCGGCGAAAAGAAGTTTTGCGCTACGTAAAACTAAACATCGCCTTCTCTAGCGGACCATACCTCTAAAACTGTACGACCAATGGAGATTTCTAAGTACTGCCATGTTACACATCAGAGGCGCTCTGAGAAACAACAGTGATTTGTCCATTGGGGTTGTGTGAAGAATCGAGTTCGCCAGTTACGGGGTGGTTGGGGTGTGGATTTTATATGCACTTGAAGAATACCAACCCCATCAAGATGAAGAAAGCAGCGAGCGAGTAAGGTGGCTTAAAATATAGGAGCTTCTTAGATAAGAGGTTTGTGCGCTGAGTCACAAGACATGTTGTAAAGTTGCAACACTTCTCAAAAGATTTCTTCAGCAATACATGTAATGGGCTTCGAATTTCTATGCCACCGATATTTCCACTTGGCCTAGTACAAAATACCTGCCGCTCTAGCCTCAACTAACCAGTCAGCTGACACGTCAAACCAGCGGCTGGTTTTTCCCAAATCGTTCTCCTCAAGTGGCAACAACAAAAAATGATTTATCGACTCAGAAAACTTACGAGGAACGCAGCTGCTGAAGCGATCAGGATTCCTTGTAACTAATTCGTCATTGATTCGATCCTTCAAGGCTCCAAGAATGATTACGGGGCGAACGTAGTTCACTAAAAACTAATGAGTTGAATAGTGCAGTGAGACAATAAGCTTACAAAGAATGACCGAACTTACGAGCTTGCTGTTCCACGACTTGATATGAGAAGATCGGATCTTCGCTCACACCTACTGAAAAAGCAATTCGAAATGCAAAATCTCACTTCAACCCACACACTTTTGTTATTAGCGAGCATGCATGTTTTAGGCACACTAAACGTAAAACGAATCCATTTTAAGCACTCTACTTACTACAATCGCTTTCGCTAGTGTATGATGTGTAAGTGACCGTCGTCCCAGTTGCTCCTAATATAAAATGAAAACCGCAAGAACAAAATGTTTACAGTCTGAACGCAAGTGGACTACGTAATTAACGGGCGTCCTTCAACATGTTCCACCATAACGACAGCAATAATTGGAGGCAATTACCCTTTTGTTGCCTTACTCATGTACCCTGCCCACTATTACGAGATAAATAGCATCAATTGAAGAATTCTTATCTTATTCAGCAACCTTTGGAGAAAATAAGTAAAATATTACCCGCGTATGGTAACAGACGGAAATGATAAACTCACGTTCTTGGTCAGTAAACTCGTTCAAACGATCTGTACTCTTCACAAACGGGAACTTTCTTGAAAACGATAGCTGGCTTTTGCTGCCTCGTCTGCCCTCCATTCCTCCCATCTGGCCAGAACTACGACCAAGTGACATAGAACCAGCATTGAAATTGACCTACAAGAGTTCGGTTCAACAAGGGCTTCTTATTAAAGGATCGGCTCCAACTACGCTCAACCCTATGCGAGCAATACCGTACCTGCTTTCTTCGTGCTCTCTCCCTCTTCTCGATACGCTTCTTTGATGGAATAACTCCTTCTTGAGACTCTTCACCATTATCCAAAATCTGAAGCATTCAAATTTAAGAACTGTTCTCTTCGTAGTGCCATAGTTTCTGCACATAACTGCACATGTAGATCAATAATATTCGATATATTCGAAGCATTTAGAACTACCGCTCAAAAAGTAAAGACAGTATCAGACTAATAGCTCAAAGAAACAAGTAATTAGGGTGATCGACGTTAGAACCTCTTGAAATTTTATGCATCACCTTCTTCGCAGTTCCACCAATCATCATCTGATGTGTTCATTACATGCAAAATACTCGCCATACTGGAACGATATGGACCGATGCGGAACGCCGACTTCGCGGGTGTGATCATAATCGAACAGTGCCCTAAATAAGTTCATTCGGAATCCACATTCAGTCATGAAGTCGCTCTAATAAACGCGAGAATCTAATAATGGCTTTTTGCATTTTGTTAATACCATTTCATTTCAACAGCCATTTCTCAAATCCTCCTACAAGCTTACTTCTGTCAACAACGATGTTAATACAATCTAAAGTAAGAAATGAACCCACTTCACGAATAAGTCTTTACGAGGGAGGGTTCCGCCCGTAGAATTGGCTTGGATCATATCGTTGCGTAACCGCTCAATCTTCGCTTCGAATTGCTGGTAGTCTGAAAAAAATCCCTCAAAATGCATCATCTCATAATGTTTTCTTACACCAACTAATAAAACAGCAGCTGCTAGTAATGACCCAACCGCTTCTCAACAAATAGTAAAGAAAACATTCAAGAGAATTGAGAACGGTTGCAAACCAGCAGACTTTATTTTTTACCTCAAAGCGATTTGTTTTGTAATCAACTGTGAGAGAATACTAAATCAAATGCTGTATCGCCAAAACCCCCAGAAACAATACAAATTTCGCTGCATCAGGCCAATAAGTACGCAGTTTTGCAATTAAATCAGTCAAAACAAAGAAAGAAGACTGAGGTAACGAAAAACAAACCATGAGGTCTGTACTGCAGCGTGAGTGTAACTGGATTTTGAGCGTTTTTAAGAGCCTCTGCAGCTTGAGAATGCGTTGCGTTACGCAAGGAGCGCCCGTTCACTTCAAGAAGAACATCGCCCTAAAGTCACAGCTTCAAATGAACAATTCTGCAGTATGAAATAAAGACCGTTCGAATATCACAAGCCACTGTGCCGATTGCAAATGCAGCACTGCTCACCTTCCTTACGTTACCGCTCAGATCCGCGACACCGCCCGGTAATACGTAACTGATATATATCGGTTCGTTATCCTCACCACCAACAATATTGAAGCCAAGTCCCTGGAAGTCTAGTTAATACACAGCAGTACTTAGAATAGATACTACGAACAAAAAGAGAGCATTGCATTGTTCAATACACTTCTCCAAACTATTCAAAACGCTGTCCCTCTAATGCATGACATCGTAACCACCACATCATACAAAGAACTAGTGGATTCTATCCTAGATTTTGAAGAACTCAATTGTATGATAAAGAACCAGCCACCACCCTGGTCACAAAGAATCGATTTCATTTCATCTACTTTTATAAATTTAAACATATCAGCGAATCCACAAAAAGGCCAAACAGTATGCTGCTTCTGCGTTGAAAGGACAGGACTTGTATGCGGGATCAACAGCACCCTATGCCACGAGGACTTCGCGGCAATGACTGCCGCAATGACCTTAACTGTTGAAGACAGTGTTAATGTTCCATCGTGCACGCCACATTGCAGAACTTACCCTGCAGGACCTACGCCACGAATGGGCCCCAATCTCACCGGAATGAGAATTTATTCGGTCCCTTGAAGTGCTTGTCCCTGTCACTATGGTACTCACTTGCGGTTATTTAGGACCTGGATCACAAATGTGATTTTCAACTTTGGAACCTCCGTAATATGGTAACACGCCGTCGCTTTTCAACAACGCGGAAGAGAGGAAGTTGCAGCGTCGAACTGCAGGCAAAATCTATGAGCAGTCATCGAAGATTCAAACAACTGATTTTACAATGAATTTGGCGAAAAGATTGCGACGCTAAACATGAGGAGTTTCGAAGAGGCGCGCTTCAATTCTGTAAAAACAAAAAAGGGTCTGGTGCAGTCAGGAAACAATGGCAAAATTCTCTGTGCATACTGCGAAGGCCACTATGCTTGGAGAAAATCAAACGCAAATCTCAGCTTTAAAGTTCCCCAAAAGCAGTAGAGGGAACAGAAGCGATCAAGTTGTGCTTCAACATGGTGACTCCGTTAGGTGTTCGTTCAAAAATTAAAGTCTTGTGACGGCAGATTCGACCCTGTCCAGGAGAGACCTGTTGTTACTCCCTGATAACCTATAATTCAAAACTCTGGAACAAGTTGCTGGGCAACATTCTCACTAGATCAGGTACTCTTAAGGAAGGACTCGTCAACTTTTTCTGATCTACCGTAGACACGGGCTAATTCCTGGCTTGAGACGGTTGATAATAGCCTGCTCTGGAGGGAGCTGGAGTGGCTAAGTGGGCTGTGGCGCCGCTTGAAACGCGCAGGATGAGATAGCCCAATCCTCAATCGTACGCTGTCCAGCAAAACCAGCTACTTAAGAACTATCTCTGCCCCCTCAGCACAGATGAAGTCGAATCTAATTTGCAGCTATAATATGATTTTGAATGGCAGTAGAATGTGTGGCGCAACTCAAAATGGGATTAATAATCGCACGCTTCCAAGCTTTGTTGTGGGAAAATACCCTGGTGACTGGGACAGTGCCACAGACAATGTATTTGCAAAAAGGAATAAAAACAAATTGAGAAGTTCAGAGAAACATGTAGAACATTGCAAAGATCAATCAAAAGTTAGACTGAGGAGCATGCCTGATTTCCACGGTAGAGCGGCACAGGCCTGGGGTCCATTGTGATCGGTACTTGTTGAGGCGCCACACCTACTCCAATCGGAGCACCTTGTGGCCCGCCGTACGCTAACGCACTTTGCGAATCAAACGACCGATTGAAATCTTGCATTGAATTCGCTAAAAATTTATTACTGCGCTCAGTGACTGATAAAAATGTAGATACTCATTGGAGAAATGTCAGAGAGACTCACATCTGATTGGTGTTGTCTGCGGATATTGTGGAGTGGATGCAACATACTGACGGCTGGCGGTGTCCTCAATTGCACCGACATTCACATTAGGGTCTGCTTTAAGCACCAACAACGTCACTTTAGTGCCAGTTTGCTTGAGAACATTGACAGCATATTCGTGCGTAACATTCTCAAGTCCGACATCATCAACCTAAAGAAAACAGTGGAATCTTAACAAAATTTTTACACATTGACCGCTCAAAATAGGAATAAATGGTCTGTTACAATGAACGGCGAAATATCTTACAGCCAGAATTCTGTCTCCCACTCCAAGACGTCCATCATGATATGCAGCTCCACCATCAATAATTTTTGTGACATAAATATCGGTGTCTCCCGGAACGTGCTCGTTACCCACTCCGCCAGCAATTGAGAAGCCAAGGCCGCGCTGTCCCTGGAAGCAAGAGAATAAGAAAATTTCCGAATATACTGAGGTAACAGAAAGCGGCAATTTTCAGAAAGACGTCGAATTACCTTATAAAGGTCGATGGTATGTGCTAACCTAGCACGGGAGCTCAAACCAGCAGGAGGCAAATTGTGAGCAAGATGGCCTTGAGAGCCACCATGAGCTGGTGGAGGAGGTGGTGGATAACTTGGTGGTACAGTGGGCGAATGTCCACTACTACAAAAATGTATGATTACTATACTTCAAAATATTCCGCTCTATTAAGTACTAAAATAAAAGAAAAAGGAAAGATAGTCGATTTATTACCCTTCAAATCCACGTGACACATTGAGGGCTCCCATAGACGATGTTAGGTCGCTTCTGTTCAGATGACTTGCAGAGCCCATGGATCCGCTGGTTGCAATAGGGATGTTCATTTCATCACGTCGACGTTTGAGGGTCTGAATTCAAGCAAAGAAATCAGTTGGATCTTGTTTAAGATGAAAAAAAAACACCACGTTAACTAATAAACAAATAAACACATAATGAGTTCCGTTATGCAAAATTGTTTCTCTCACAACCCCTTCCTTCCTGTGAATGCTTAACTTTTCGGAACTGCGGAGCTGACTAAATAGCTCTAGCTCAAGAGAATCTCACTAAACGGAAAAAATAACCTTGTTAAATCCCAAACGCACCGACTCAACTTTTTTAGTAATAGTACAAGCAAGCTGTAAACGCGTTACACACTTATTACAGAGATGACTCACCAGACGAACAACATTTCCTGCCGTCTTCAACGCATTAACTGCAACTTCATGCGGCACATTTACGCACTCTGTGTTGTTGACTTTCAAAATCTTGTCGTACTTCCTTAACACCACAGATTCTCATTGGCATTGAAAAGCAAGGAAACATTATTAGCCATAGAATTTATAGTCATTCATAAACAAAGATGGTAACTGGTAGAACTTAGAAATACGGATCCTACTTCATGCGACCATCAGCTGCAGCTGCACCACCCATGATGATGTTGGTGACATAAATTGCGGTATCACCATCTTCAGCCGGCTGGTCAGTTCCTGGAGAAAACACGAATTAAAACAAACAAACGAGCGTATCTAAACAAGAACAAATTTGAAAAAAAAGTAAAATCATGTACTCAAACGACGAACCTCCAGTTATCGAAAACCCTAATCCGGTTGTGCCCTTTTCTAGCACAACATCTTCAATTTCCCAAGCTCTGCCCATGCTGTCAATGAGTCCATTAACCTGTAAAATACAAAAACATCAGATAAACTAGATACGCTATACATGCCAGCAGAAACAGTATTAGACTTGAAGCTTGCTGAAGTTACGATGTTGGGATTCCACATCGAGTTTCAGAAATGAATCTAAAACTTTTAGACAACAGTCAATGTCTAAGCTCTTTCAAGTGCAAAATTGCAAGATAACAAGAATGTGCAATAATTAAATATAAATAGAAGAGGAAGCGTTTGACGTTCAGCATGCGTTTTGATGCGTCACGCACGCACTTTCATTTGCCTTTCATTCGTAAATGTAGTGGTAGTACTGTGCAAACCAACCTACAGGATGACTTAGGTGTTAGCTGGTTGAACTTTTTTCAAGACTCCTGGACACCTTTTCCTTCATAATTTAGGCAAGGCACTCGGAGTTAAAAAAAAAGCAGAAGCGTTGGCTTCCACACCGCAAGTTTGCTGTACAAACACTATTTAAACAAGTTATTTGTTCGAGGAAATATGACTAATATGACTAAAAGTGTAAATCCAGTAAAGATGACACAAGTAACGTAATAATAGAGAGAAGAAAAACTCAATCGAATCAAAACCCTGAACTGAAGGCAAGCGTAGAAATCTCACCGTTGAAGACTGTTTCTGAACACCTCCTGGGCCATCAAAGCTACGAGTGGTTGTTTCACTAGTTTGCCAGCCGCCGTCATTAGTCTGTAAGATGATACTTCTTGAATATTAATATTAATATCCTCAAATAATGTATTGAACTTGAACTCACAATTTGACGAACTCTTTCATGAACAACATGACTTGAAGAATAAGAATTTCCGACACTTCCGAGGCCATTCTATAGGTAAATGAGATCACCATCACAGATCAATAAGACTGGAGAATCTTTTGAAGACAACGCTAACCTCAGCAGTTGCTAACGGCGCTGTCTGTGTCGACAGAAAAGTGCGCCCAGACCTGCTTGCATTCGAAGCGCCGAAGGGTGGATTCATGTCTAAACGCCTTGCGATCTCCTTCGACTCCGCAATCTTCTGTAGAACGCTTTTTCGCTCATTGAGTAGCGTTTCCTCATAGAATTCTTGAAGGTCTGCAAGGAACGGTAGTTGCTACACCATTGAAAGAGCTAGCCTACATTCACCAGAGAAAAAAAGCGATTACCTAAGAGAGCTTGGAAGAGGCTGTTCTTGAATGTTGTTATGACACGTTCGATTGCCACACGAAGTTCATCGTCTCCAGGATGGATGAGAAGAGCATGGTACTCTTCTAACAGCTCCAACGCACGATACGCTTCTGGAACTTAAACTCAAGTTTCTGAGAATACAATGCCATAAAGTGATATCAATTTGATGTAATTGTCTGAATGCGCATAGAGAACCCTTACAGGAGAGTTTGAAGGACACCAGTTAGCCTTACCCGACCACTGAATAGAATTTTTACGAGGACGTTTTCATCTTAACGAAACAAGACAAGAAATTTCAGTACTGATAACATTAAAATACCACCAACTCCCTTGCTGTAAGAATCATTCTTCGTAATCTTTCTAAGAATGCAATCCAAAAGTTGTATTGATTGCACTTGAAACAGCTGCTAGGAGTGTCTACGATAAGAAGGCAATTAATGCCCACAAGATGTCAGAGCAGCTTCAAGGTAATTATCGCACCAGCCTCATTCACACCTGGGACACAATTCTATCCACTACGTGAAGCGAAGTCATATCCAGGAGCTCAGAACTCGCAGATTGAAAACTAGATACGTAAAGAGTTCTCAACGAAAACGACCTGAAGACCGCTTCTCAGACAGCGCAGGGAACCGAGTGTAATTGAACAGTTCATATTCTTGTTGTCTGGAAATACTCGGAGTTATTCTTCCAGAAACCAAAGCAAGTCTTCATGAAATAACCGACTGTAAAATCTAGTCCATCGCTCCCTGTTTCGCATGTTCCACGTACAACGCAATCCCAACCCGGAGCACAAAGCGGCGACCAGTTACCGGTCAAGTGACAGAAAACATCCTGATCGCAAGAGACACATCTGTGTGAGCCCTTGTAGGTTTTCAACCACAAGCTTGGTCTTGGGAAGCTTAGTACATCCGACTTGGCTTTTAATAAGCTGTTCTGCGACGCTGTCCAGGACTCGAACTTTTTAGTCCGAATTCGGTTTGCGCTTGGGAGCAAAATATTATATTTGTCCACAATCCAGCAAATTTACTATAAACTAGGAGAACTATTTTCTTTCCTGGTGAGACACATGCCAGGAATCGTTGGTATTTGTTATCGGAATGGGTGATCTACTGAATCGTCATTTTATAGCATAGCATTCTCACACAACTTGCGCTGCAGAGATTTCCGCAGGATCAACGCTCTCAATTTTTCTATCTGCTCAATCTCTTTGGCACCAATGAGCAATACCCAAGGAAGATGTTCATCATTGCTTTTTTATACTAATTTACGTTCCGAGACCCTACAAATTGTTCATGCAATGTGCCTCTGCCGGTGGCTGGCACAAGCTCCTATCGCTACAATCAGTTCGCCTCGCTCTCTTTCCTCAAACATTAAATAAATGAATAAATAAATAAAAATATTGTGACAACATGTGTTGGTGATACCCGCAGACTAAAAAACAATCAAAGCCTCCAAAAACAGAGAACCCGAGAGACCACTTTAGGATGGACTCAATCGCATCATATAAAACATGCGCGGACCGGGAAGATAGCTAATGGTAAGCAGCAAGCATTGAGAATATAGAAAACTAAGTTTCTATCAAAGTTCATAATGCTCGCAAAAGTACAGACATGTAACAGGTTCGATCGTAATGAACGCCACCTATAGAGAAGAAAAACTTGCACTTTCTTTTTAAGGACAAGAGCTATCGAAAGTAAATTAAACGAAAAAAAGCAAAAGTTCACTCTTTCCAAACGAAAATGCATTGTAGTGAAATACATCATAAAAACGAATCGTGTTTATTCTCCTTGGTTTGATGGTCCACAAGCATATCGCTAGCTCCCCTACACTGACTTCGAAGATCGCGACTTCGCCGATACTTCATGTGATGAAATTTTTATCCATCAGCAATATGATACAAAATCACGTCATAGCAGATGTGTCCCAGCGGGTGGTGCGAGGAGAGTCGTGTAATAACCACTGAGAGGAGGCTCGTGAAGATAGCGCATTATCTAGCGATTATCGACTTGAAGAGCGGAATGGCGGATTCTCTACGAAATGAATACAGCAAGGTGAGCCGGCAATGGCTGAAGCAGCAGTAAGACTCTGCGTCATAAAGAAAACAGCAATGCACACAGTGGCACGAAAACATGAGACAACTGTGATCAAGCGTGCAGGCTGCAGACATTCCGAGATGAAGAGAAACGCCGAAATTTAACAAAACTGGCTTTCAAGGAACGACGGAGCAGCTAACTATACTGCTGTAATGTTTGGAAATTATAAGAAAAGGCGAAAAAAAAGATTAAAAGATACTTCGATGTGCTAAGCACGGGAATTTGTAAAGAGGCTGACCTTATAGTAGTCGCGAACCTAGCTTTATTAAATATAAAAATAATAGATTCAAACTGAATAAACTTCAAAATATAGATCTCATCTATTAGAACTCGCCAGTGCAGTGCGTGAAACAAAAGCATAGCTTTCTGGTCGTGCCCGACTCAGACTTGGTTTTAGGACTTCTCGACATTCTGTATCCACTAAATCACGACCTTATTACCACTGCAGTGCAGGTCTCAATCAAAATTTATCCTTACACGAGAGGCAGTTTTGCGATCCCGTCGATGAAGACAAGTACATTTCCTTACAGCTGAGGCCGCAAATGTAGCTGCGGGAAGGGGAGGTCGCACGCGGAGCATCCGGTCAAGATACGGAAACGCAGTTTTTCCTGACTAAGCTCTAAAAGAAGGAGAAGGACTCCGGTGCTGCGGAAGAATTTTCGTACTTCTTGCGGAGTTCCTCCCTGCTAGCTAGCAGCTTAGGTCGAGAGGCCTTTCTATAGAGTGCCCCCCTCCGAGCCACATGCGCTGCAGTGATACCATTCGAATAGAACGATAGCGTAAATCTTACGGATCACAGTTTTTGATAGTGAAAAGATCGTGGCCAGTCTTTCTATGCACCCAATACCCACTGGGAAGCGAGCGGTGTGTACGGTAACTATAAAGGAACCTGTTAAGTATAGCTATGATAGAATATCGCGTCTCTTCTATCAGTTGTCGGCGCGGGCACTTAACGATCCTGCAAATCACCGAATATTTTGCGTAGGCCCAAGACAAAGCGCGATAGAACTCAGCGGCGAAGGGGCAGATTGAGCCAGATTCGGCCACCGACTGCGATTAATCGTTAGTCTCACCTCCAGACGGGGCGAACGCGGCATCGTGGGTCTAGGTTGTGTTCTAGACACTTCATTGCAGGGCGCTAGCGAGAGAATACATTTCCCTTGAAGGATATAATCAAAGGAATAATTCGGTAGTGGGAGCTGCAAAAAAAGGTACAAAACTCGACTTGACACTTAGAAGTAGCTTGTGCGAAAAAGCAACGCGAACGAATGAGCGCCGGACCAACACCAATGAACGACGCTCGTCGCACCGGCGTCGACACAAGCATACACCACAACTCGTCTTAGCAATGCTAATTCACGATGATTCATAAAGATTTGATCCATTCTGGGCATACAAGAAAAATATGCTCGCGCAACGACAGCTACCATAGTAATGTCACTACAACAACGTAGACCTGGGGATGAGAACTATTCAGGTTTGATCTTCATTTTGGCTTCAGTGGTGATCTTCCACAGAGTCGCGAGCATGAGACTCAGAAACCTGCAGAAAACTTTGCTCGGGGAAAGTAGAGCTAGGCAGGAACTTTGCGGACTAACTAGTATCAAAGCACGAATGGATACAGTTGGCATTCCTTGGGAAATGAAATGAATTGTGGCTTAATCGTACAAAAAATTCCACTGATAGACTGAGACGACGATAACCTGACTTGTTCATCTGGCTTTACTGGTGGCGACGGGACCCGCAATAATTAGCATGCAACATAGGGCGTAGCTATGTTTCGGGGAAGGGGAAGAGATCGGGTTGCGGGAAAAGCCCGAAGAGTCGTCCCGAAGCAGCGGCGTAGGCTAGGGCTCCCGAAATTCCTTCGGGCGCAGAGAAGACCCCAGAAGCTTTGTAGTGAGCGCGGAATTCGAATTACCTTGAAGGCCACGCATGCCAATGCGGTAACAAGCGTGAATACCTGGTAGCTGCGTTCAGTCAGTATTCGATCGAGACACAATAAGGATATATTGTGAGGATAAATCTATGCTACTATTTTATGAAATCAATTTCCTGTGGCAGAGGTTCGTGGTCACACAGTTCTCCCTGCCGCAGTAATCCACATTTCTACAGCATGGAGGGGAGTCGGGGGTGGTGGGGTATTGTGCAAGCGGGCGAAAGGAATGAGCACGGAAATAAGAAATTGTCATGGTCACGAATACTTTAGGTGATGCGCCGAACCCTTCTTGTATACTATGTTTACTAACATCTGAATTGATGCGTTTTTTTTCTGAAAAGGTATTTTTTTAATGCCATTTCAGCTGCTTCATTCTATCGGGTTTGATGGCCAAGAACCTGTTTTCCCGATTATGAACGCATTTTATCATTTCGCGCTACGGTCGCTTGTGTGTGACCCTATTTCTAATGACGCCCATGAATCGTAAGATCAGGGAGAGGAAGCCTGTAATAACTGTAATCTCAATGGACAGCAGAGTATATCCTCAACACCAAGTACTCTATTACAAAATCATTGTGAATAAAACGGCATCTCTATCACTCTAACATCGACTGCGTAGTTGGAACAGAGGCGCATGACACTGTTTTTCAGCGCAGGATCCGAGTTGGTTGGAGGGGAAAAGGGGTCTTGATTGTTTACAGAATTTTCCCGTGCCTCCATTATGCCAGAGCGCTGAACGATTGATTAGCTTGCCGTTATCACAGCCTACGAATATGATCCATCGCAATTCTTGCGCAAGAACACCAACGACGCAGCCGATGCTGCAGCATAACCCTCTTACGCTCATGGAGCGCAGCTTTAGTGATAAATATGTAAAGTCCCTAAGAGAATGATGTGCTCAGCAAGAAAAAGTGCGCGCCGACGAGCGATACTCTAGCCTTCGGCGATGCTTCCCAACGATAATGGGGAGGCCGGACGCGTCCCCGAAGCTCGGTGGGCGTGGCTTCGGTCCCCGGAATGAGCCTTCGGGGGAGGATAGCATACAGTCTATAGCGGACGCATCCCTTCCCCGAAAGCAG